GTTCAAAATTATTCTCTGCAGGTTTTAGTTAGGTCTTTCAAGGTAATTCATCTCGAAAATAAACACTGCTTATGAACATAATAAAACAAAATAAAATAGTTATCTCCAAAGGACCTTATAGCAATTATTAGGATAGTCTCACCCGAGGTCAACAAATACCCTCAGCGTCTCATACAGATGTACACTGCAGCCTTTAGCATCTGTATGAGACACCTTTTTAATACATGGTTAACAACTTTATGAAATAGCCACAGGTTGGTATGGTTTAGGGGACAAAACTACTTGGTCAGGTTTAGGAAAAGACCATGGTTTTGATTAATATTCCAGTGTGTTACATTCAGGAGGATCTATTGTTAGAAATGGAATATAATATTCATATTTATGTTTTCATTAGTGTGTAATCACCTGAAAACAAGAATTCTTGTGTTTCTGTTACCTTACAATGATATCTAGAGACACAGTGGGTCAACTTCCACGGAGTCTGCCATGTTAAACTGCCATGTTTTGTAGCTCATGCAAACCAGGTAACATAATGAGTCACTCTCTAATAGGTTTTAGTTGTCCATCCTATTCTAATTGCATTGATACGATTGGATCTATGGCCTGTCAGTCAAGACCCCTAAGCCAATCCAACGCTGGCTTTGTGGTTCCGCCTCTTTCCTTTGTGAAGCGGAACACACAGTCTTTATTAATCCATTCATTGCATGCACTGCAACCTGTTGCTAGAGGAAGTCAACATAGCTAGACAAAAAAATAAAACTCTCAAACCTCGAACAACTGGAACTGAAGCCCCACACCTTTATTGAAGGAGGTGGTGAGTGAAATCTTGCTTCAGGTATTGTGGAATATCGTTAAATACACTATGCTACTGCTAAACACGCCATGTAACTTGTAACCTAGCGTCCTCACTATCAACAGTATTTACTACAACCGACAATGCACTGTTGCAGGGGAATACGACAGACTTGCTGCTGAACACTGGTGAGCAATGAAGGTTTTGAAGTTGCTGTGGAAGATGTGATGGTGCGTGCATATGGATCATATGGTCATGATTTATCCCTACACCTATTTACCTAACCAGGTCAGGTTTTTCTCCAGAGCAGTTAACTGGATGGTGGCGAGCTAGAGGAAGGAACCCCAACAGGAACGCCAACTGGGGAAAGAAATCATCCCGTTATAGGCAGGCCTCAAGCCTCAGCCCCTTTCCCGCTGGTGTGGTAGGACTGTGCACTGTGCAAATTCACCTTAACAATTTTTATTGAAACAAGCATTAATGTGCACTGGTAATCACTTTACTGTGTATTAAACTACATGCTTTGAGGAGAATGTGCAATTTGTTGTCAGATGGATTCAATGTAGAAATTAAAGGACTAATTGAGTATAGGGTTTAAAAGGTCCACCGTATGCGCTAGTAGTCATTCACACTTGGAAGGGGAGGGTGAAGTGACAGAGTTGCAATCTGCCACTGAATCCTACACACTGGATCTTTAAAATAACTACATTATGTAAATCATGTGACATAAATGGGGAAACAAACCCCAGTGTTTGAGCCATCTATTCACCTGTATGTGTGGATATTCTCGCCCTTCTTTCCTACCTGACACAAATGGGTTTACACAGAAGCCCAGTGTGCCTCATACAGATGCTAAACGGAACCCTGTTCATCTGTGTGAGACGCTGCGGGGCATGACAAAGCGTTGGTATTTGACGTCCTGGGAATGAGAACGGGCTGCAATATCTGCTTTTTTATGGTAAATTGAAGCATTATCTAATCCGAAACACAACAGCAGCAGCCATGGCTGCCATGACTAAAGACAGTGCCTTTTGGTTACTGATAAATGGACATATGGACTCCATACTGTGAACAGCAGAAAGAAGCAGTTCTTTCCGAGCCAGTGTTTTATTGTATAGTAGCCTGTTCTCCCTTATGGCCTAATCAAACTTTGCAGCAGCGGCAGCACTAGTAGCGGCAGCAGTGTTCCAGGTAGTTGTATGGATGTTATGGCTGGCTGGGAGAGCTATAACACATGCTGCTGCCATCTCAGTTTTGCCATTATAAAGTTGAGCCGTTAGAGGAGTCCCATTATGGTTATTGATTTGCTTGTTTGCTCCCCGCTTGGTGGAGAAACAGCACAAAGAGAGAGGTTGTTTCCTACCCCTTTTATATCCCATTCCCAAAAAGCAGACATAGTTTAGAACAGCCAGTGGGGGGTCAGGAGGAGAACCCATGAGAATTTTATGATAATATAAATGTTCTGCTGCACTGACTTTGCTTAGTATATCGGGTGATGTGCTTCTCATACCAAATCGAGTAAAGAAAAGTTTCAAATAGAATAGAATAGAAGCCTGAACCCTCTTCAAGGACTCCAATCAGATCGGATTTCTGTTCGCCCTCAGTGTCCACCATCAATGCTATCTGTCCCCGCTATCAGGTCACCTGTGTAAATGGCGACAATGAGAAGGTGAGGCTGTTTGCAGGTCAAGCCGGGATCTCATTTCCCATCACCAAGACAGAAAATCAAGCCACTATTAACCCCATAGTGAACCAGCTATGTCCACTTTATAACTTAATTACCGGAGGTGGTGGGATCAGCAACAATCAATTCCTCCCTAAAGCTGCCTGCAAGACCTGCAGGGCAAAGACTACCCCCACCTCACACACACTCAGAGACTTCAGATGTTGAATAATTGAAAGACCACCATAATCTTTTTAGTCATAGCATATACCTCAAATTACCTTATCTGTAAAATAATTCACATTCATAAAGCTCATGGGTTTGGTTTTCAGCATTTTCTTTGAGTTTGGGTTCTGGAACAATTACAACTGCTGGAAAAGGGACAGTGTTAAAGGTTAAAACTCCAACAACACTTAGGCATTGAGAACAACAGGACTGTTAAATCTGAAGCCAATTGCTTTTACCAGGAAAGCCTATGTTCTTCTGTATAACATTAACAATGGCTTCATTATATTCAAGTGTCCTAGACTTAGGCTTATTTGCATATGGTCCACCCAAACAGGTGTTTCAGTTAGCATGCCAGTTTACTGCCTATGTGCGTTAACCCAGACAGGAGACCTTGCTTCCACTCCTTCTGACAACATTCAACTGGAAGAACTGTGTAAAGAAAATGAATGAGTTCATGAATTGCAATATTCCGACACATTCTCGCTGCAAATTCATCAGATACTGTCACTGTCTCCGCTTCAAAATATAACGCTGTACGTTCCCCTCTCATGTCATTTCATCTAACTGGACGGAGCATACTCAGGCTTATTACCTTTTTGAAACAGTTATAGTTTGGCCTGAACATCTAATTGGTTAGGATAAGGAAAAGATCATGAACTAAGTTATGATGTGTCATACTTTGACATTGCCACTGACTAAGCGTTAGTATTTGTCGACTTGGGATAATACTATTTCCAGATTGTCTTGATAATTTAACAAATAAAAATAAACTATTACCATATGATGCCAAAACAGCAGAGTTTAACTGGCCTTGAATTCTAAACACAGTCAACACGCACTGCAGCACTGTGATCCAGGCCAAACTAGTCCCAGTGTGTCTGTTGGATGGAGCTCTGGGAAGCCTGGCAGCCTGTCTTCAGGCTGGCACACCCTGACCTCTGGCATATGGTACATGTACCCAGCCTGCTGGCTTATTTGTCGCTTGGTGACCTGGACTGCAATAATAGCAAGGTTTGAACAAGGTCTGTTTCCCTGCGTAACAAGGAAGGCATGTCTTCTGCAGCCTTACAAACTCTCTGACTTCAATGAATTATGGAACACCTACAAATGATAACAATGCCCAGACATACCTGGGCAAAAACCCTACTCTCCCAAATCAATTTTTCAGCTTGAGAAAATACAAAATACAAAGAAGTACACTGAGTAAACATACAATATTCACCAATGTCATAATAATGGGTGTTAGGAAACAGCAGAAAAATAGTAGTGCTGCAAATCATTAATCTTGGATAACATGATTTTTTTTTTAAATGGGTCAGAAATGTGTGTAACTTTCAGTTAGGCTTTTAGCCTTAAAATGAGGTTATTTTTAACCATGCTAGCGGCATGGCTCAAGGGGTGGAAGTGTCAGTCTGTCAGTCGGATGGTTGGTCCACCACTTTGGCCCAGACTAAATTTCTCAACATGTATTGGATGGATTGCTATGAAATTCTGCAGACATTCATGGTTCCCAAATGATGAATCCTACTGACTTTGGAGATCCCCAACCTTTCCTCTTGCACCACATTTACAGTTTTAAGTAAATGTAAATGTAGTAAATGCCTTGACAACTACTGAGTGGATTGCCATGAAATCTGGCACAGATATTTATGTCCCAGTGAGGATGAACTGTAATATCTTTGGTGCCTGACTTTTCATCTAGCACCATCAAAAGCTGCCTCTAGTGGTACACGGAGGAATCTCTGGAATATAGATTTTTTAATAAAACACATTTATTGCAAAACATATAATACTGTCAAAACACTATAGTATTTTGAATGTAGATACTTAAACTATGAAGTTGCTGAAAAGTAATTTAAAATAAGTTTAGCATTTTCTCTAATATTTGTTTAAATATCAGCCTGCAAAGTAGTGATACACTGTAATATAATTTTTTTTACAGATTATCTGTCTCATGTACTACTGTCAGGATATAGTGAACATTTCAGCAAATAAACGAGGATATTATATAATTTTACTCCACCTCCACCTTATGTAGCCCTGTAGCAACATTGGTAAAAAAAAAAAAAAAAATCTTCAGGGTATATAAGCTAAAATGTTTGCTTACTTAGTGTGATACAATGAGTTCTTAAATAAAGAAAGATTTTTGTCTGCCATGTTTGGTTTTTTTTTGACTGTTAAAAAAAATAAATAAATAATTCACATAAGAAATATACCAGAAACTTTTCACTTTGTTGTGTACATTTTTATAAAAGGTTAATCTTTTTTTCTAAAACCATGGAACCAAAGATGAAGAATTATTAACGTAGGTCTTACCAGTGCTGTCATCATAAACCACAGTGACTGTCTTCCACTTGAAGAAGTGGACCAGGTCCAGGATAGCCCGGCTGAGGGAAGAGAAGTCCGGATAGAGGCTAACATAGAAGATGTCTCTGTTGTCCGAGACCTGGTGCTTCCATTTGGTCTGGATGTGCGGCACCCCCAGGGCATTGCAAATGGACTGGACCGCATTGGCCGAGGAACTGTGAGAGGGACCAAAAATGGCCGCTACCCCCAGAGAAAGCTGGTCACAGGCTAGAGAGGGAAAGATTTGATTAGATAGCTCCTTCTTACTTTGCTGCTGAATGTTTCACTTGACTCCCTACAGAGCTTAGAAAGTATAATAAGATAAGATATTCCTTTATTTATCCCCCTTAGAAGAAATTCAGGTTGACACAGCAGCAATAGGGCAAAGTGCAAAAACAGAGAACAAAGATAACAAATGATGCAAAGCAGCTTTCTGTGAATTAGTCTGTATGCAAGAATTCAGCATTAGGGATACTGTATGTTAATAGCACTGATTAGTTTATTTAATCTTCATTTAAATGGCTGGTGATATTGTATATTTTCCTATTGTCAACAAATTTTGTCCAAAAGTATTAAAAACATCAGTGAGTCTCACTGATGCACTGGATTCCTTCATTAGCATGAACCACTGCAGTTTATTTTGACTCAATCCCAACTGCTGCCCTGTCATGATCAAAGTTTGTCTTCTGTTTTGTTGACTGGCTAATATGACTAGTCTAATGGAGACACTAAATGAGAGAAAGAGTATAGGAAGAAGAGAGGAAAGAGGCGTGCCACAAGCTCAGTGCATGGTAGGCGACACAAGAAGAGGAGTTGGCTGACCAGTCAAGTGAGCCAAAGCAGCACAAATGTTGGATATCAAGGCATTTAATTCAGGGGTTCCCAAACTTTGTCATGTAATGGCCTCCAGAGTATATGAACTTTAGACCACAGACCCCTTAATTTGAGATAATTTTGTTTTTAGGAATCCCATCTTAGATTTTGTTTTTGTTTTGAAAATAAAAAAAAGTCAAACTAGGATCATTAAAAGTTAAGTTAAGTTAAAGTATTCTGTTCTTCCTTTTGCTGGGGACTCCCTACAACCCACTCAAAGACCCCTGTTGGTCACTGGACCCTAGCTTGAAAACCACTGTTTTAGTGTATGTAATGGCCTGTTAGTAGCTGGTAGGCTATAAGTGGTAATTAAATCCCCTAGAGATACAGTAACAACAGCTGTTTTATGAAATTACTTATCCTTTTTTAAATGAAGAGGTGAGCCATTTATCTTCAGTATGAACCAGTGGGCTTGTGGCCTCAGACAGTGTGGACCACTGCTGGTATTGTCATCTCATTGGAGTGAAATACTACATACCTAAATAGAATTGGCCTTTTTTGACATCATGTCACAGGTCAGAGGAAGGAGGATGGGGGACTGGAAATTGCCCCTGGATTGGCAGTTTATGATCCCCGTTTTTTGGGGGCCAAACATATTTTTGCATTTAATTTAGTCATGGGATTTGTTGACAACGAGAAAACTATACAATAACACCAGCTTTATCCTCACTGACACTAACCCCAAAATTCCACCAGGCATGACTTTTTAACGTCACGTCTGCAATGTGTTTTTGCTCTGTGACGCACAGGATAGTGTTTCAGAAGCGATGCCTCTTCAGAGCGTGTTGCCTGCCTTGTCCTTTAAAAGGATACAAAATGGTGTGTTTCTATGCTTAAAATCTCCTCTAACCTGCCTCTGACTGATTGACTTCTGACAATGTTAATGTAGCATGAAATTCTATCCAGAGTCTGCATGCGGTATTTTATTTTGAAAATTGGTGGGATTCTCTATGCTTTTTCTGTGTCTAACTACCTGCTAGTGCGAAAACAGTCAGTAGTCAGTAGTCCTGTTCCAACATTGCAATGTTCCTGTGCACAAAGTCAGCAACAACTTGACTGGCCTGTACAGAGCCGAGCACTGGACTGTAAGCCAGGCCTTGTTAGCCAGCATCAGTGCCTGACCTCACTAATGCTCTTGTGGCTGAATGAGAGAAAATCCCTGAGCATGGGTATATAGTATATATTCTGGCCATATAGTTTCAAAAATGTATATACTTTATGTATATATACATTTACTATACTGATATTGATTACACAGCACATAGTACATTACATTTCCACACTGAAGCTGAAGCTAAAGGTGTGACTGAGATCAATTCAAGCTTGCTTTCATGAAATTGCATTCAGAACACATACAAACAACTGCACATCTTTGCATTAGCTCCACTGTGCACTCTATTCACCTTATTTGATATAAGGGAGTTGGCTAAATCACTGAGACAGGATATAATGGCCCGTAATTGATAAGAGACTTGAAATGTCAGCTTGATGCACACACAAAACTGATAGATTATAGCACTTTATTGGCTGTCTCTGGGGGCCAAACAGGTCTTTGAATTACTGCCGCTGAGTCATTACCTGGAACCAATCAATTCTCTCTGTTTACATTTGAAGTGCTCAGCCATTTCTCCCTCGCCTGATTATAATTGTCACAATCTAAGCCACTGCAGCTCGCAAGCCTTGAACAGGGAATACATTTACAATGCAAAGCAGTTATGGCATAGCATATGTGCGCGCACACACACATTCACTCGCACATATATTTACACACTAAAACAGCAGCCAAGAGCATGCGAATACTAGAGGTGGAACCTCCGATCACAAACACGTATAAATACCTTTCCTGGAGGCTTCGAAGCTGTCATAGATGTTTATCCTTTGGATGTCGTAGGTGAGCGTGGTGTTTGGCAGTAGGGTTCTGTTCCTGTTGATTGTGTTTAAAGCAAATTTAAAGGCTAGTTCCTCAGCGCCTGACGGGCCGCTTTCAATGGACTCAAATATCCCCCCTGTCAAAGAAAGAGACACAACTCATTAGTGATTTATCACAGTGCACTTGTTATAGTTGGAAAAGATGCTTTCGCAATAACCAGTAGTCATGATTACATAATAATAATAATAATACATTTTATTTAAAAAGCGCTTTTCTGAATACTCAAAGACACTGTACAATATAATATAAGAAGAATACAAGATCAATCAGTAAAACAATATAAAACAGCACATTACATACGTTAAAACACATTAGACTGAGCTAGATTTTAAAAGCCATTCTAAAAAGGTGTGTTTTTGTCAGTAATTTGAATGTTGGAGGGTCGGTACAGTCACGGATGGGTTTAGGGAGAGAGTTCCAGAGGGAGGGGGCAGCTACAGAGAACGCTCTGTCGCCCCATAGCGCCTTCCATTACACTAATGATTGGAGTTGGAAGAAGCGTCTCAATCAGAGTAAACTGGCTCATTCAGAAGAAAATTGGCATAAACCTTAAAAACTAATCAGTTCGACAGAAAAGGAAAGAAAATTTTGTCAGATAAACACTCACTTATTTCTGTCCACAAAGCAAATGGATCCCCCCAAAAAAAATTAAGTCACACTGCTTTGCAGGTTTTCCTGCTGGACACAAGATGTCTCCTACTTCACTGTAAAGTCCATTTTCAGTGGATGTGCACTGGTGGCTTCAAGTTCCACATCACACTATACAAGTTGCATACTGGACCAGGACTGACTTCCTAACTATTTGTGATGTCACAAATCATGCTGGTAGGCCCCGCCCCTTAGTACCTGTTTTTTAGTGAGCACAGAGAAACTTTCCAGCAGATGAATGTGAAAACATCCTTCTGGTATCAAACATTTAGTCACTCAGTGAATAAGGAATTGCATTACTTTACTGATTACTATCAGCAGAAGTTAGTTACATTATTTCTTTTCATCACATTACTCGGCCCAGCTCAGTCAAAAGATCTCTCAAAAGAATTCCTAAGCCTCCACACCAACACGTTGTCATTGTGATAATCCATTCTTTTTTGTGTGTGTGTGTCTTTTCTCCCTTCCTATTTATCTGCAAAGTCACTAACTTGATGGTAACTGCAAATCCTTTTTGCTGCCAGTTTCAGTCACCTTATCCCCACACCCACCTGCACACCTGCTTCCAAGCCTGTTAGTATAGTGTACCAGAACATTTCCATCAGCTCCTTTCGACAGAACACATATTTTCTGAATTTAGTGTATGTAGGAACAAAAGGAGACGTTGTGGTTTAACAAGTGGTTTGCTGACCATCAACAACTAGTTTAGCCATGGTGAGGAGGAGGAAGGAATAATATGCCTTCCTCCTTTTTTTGGCAGAAGCTAGCAGCTACCTCAACTTCCTCCACACATTCCAGAACAGTCTGTCCACTGAATGATGAGATTTATCTGATATCAGCCCTCCATCCAAGTCCTTGTAAAGCAGCAAACAAGCCGACCCCATAAATGTCATAGACTGTGTGCTGGGATTGTAACTGTAGTGTAATTTCTGAATTTCTACTAAACTTTTACTAAAAATTATTAGCACTAATGTAATGTACCTGTCAGATATTGCAAGTGGATCTTATAACACATGAGAATTTGTACATTTGCACGATTTCTAGTCTTACCACTAAAAGTACTTGATTCACATTCACATTCACCCATTCATACACTGATGGCAGCGGCTGCCATGCAAGGTGCCAACTGCTTATCAATCAACAATTTGGGGTTCAGTTGAAATTCTAACCAGACGTTGCATAATTATTAACATTAACTGATGCCAGAAGGTTACCTATAGCATCATATTGGAAACTGACCTAGCAGCAGTATTTGTAGAGTTGGGAGTGATATGTGTTGGTTATTAAACAGTAAATGGTGAATGGGCTGTACTTGTATAGCACCTTTCTAGTCTTCCAACCACTCAAAGCAAAGCCCATCAAACAGAAACTAACACATTCATGCACATTCACAGCAATTCGGGGTTCAGTATCTTGCTCAAGGATACTTCGACACGTGGCGGGAGGAGCCGGTGGACGACCCGCTCTGCCTCTGAGCCATAGTCGTTTATTTTTTTTAAAGTATATTTTTTGGGGGCTTTTATTGCCTTTATGATAGCGACAGCTGAAGACAGACAGGAAAGGGGGACAGAGAGAGGGGATGACACACAGCAAAGGGCTGCAGGTCGGATTCGAACCCTGGGCTGCTGCAGCAAGGACTCAGCCTCGGTACATGGGTCGCCAGGTCTACCCACTGAGCGTTCCGGGCGCCCAGCTGTTTATTACCACACATTGATTAAACATTATATCGATTATAATAACTATAATGAGAACATGACATTTTTCCCTATTTTTATGTTTAAACATCTACACTCCACTCTTTCTTTCTTCTTCGGTTAACTTAAAGATATTCCCTGGGAAGATTAACCACTCTCTTATTGATCAATTGATTGTCATTTATCAGCGCCATCCACCAATTTTCTGAGTGGTACACCTTTTAAAGGAAAACCCTGTTGGAATAAGAGATGTTTACTGTTTTTTTGAGAGATTCACAGAGAGCTCACACTCAATAGTTCTACAAGCATTTAAGTCTGATGAAACTGTTTCTTCATTAGCCAAGCACCCAGTGCATGTCCAGTCTGCCCATGGAGCTGTAGACCCTGACTGGTTGCACTATGAAGGTCAGAACTGACAACCTTATTTAGATTAGCTTAAAACACAGTTACATTGTTTTGTCATATTTATAGTTGGTTTAATAAGTTGTTAATTAATTTATCTTTGCCTAGCATGGAGGGGGAATAGTGTTTCTTTGTGTTGAGTTTTAGTTATTGTCTATGTTGTCGTCCCCTGTTTGTATTTACTGCTCTCATTTTATTGGGTCTGTTAGTTGAGTTAATATCTAGTCCAGTGGCGTGCACAGACTTTTTGAAGGGCAGGGGCGGAGAGAAAAATAATGGCACATATAGCGCGTCCTCACCACTGTAGAGGGCACTTTACACACGTTTTATATGTTATACAAATGGCACATTATATAGCCTTAAAACAGACTAACTAGACAGACTACTCAGGTTAGTTTGCTATTAGGATCAGCATCCACGAGAACTGTGTGGATTTCAACAGGGACATGAATGTATGAAGGAAATAAATCCCTAGGGGTTATTCCCCCAGAACATTTTCAATTAAGTAGATGCCATTTCCTGTATTCTAGTGCATTTTAACACCATAATGGCACCAGATAATCCAAACTGGTTCTGTGAGATATAGTTCTGGCTCAATATAGATCAACAAAGGGCCCAACATAAAGGTCATTGCAACAGTAATGTGTCATAGTATTTCTTGGTCCTAATAGTCTTCTGGAGTTTAATGTATTTTCTTCACCCACTTTAGCACACGTTTTTGCCTCCCAATAGGACACTTTGGCACGCGTCTTGGCTCCCAAGAGGGCACTTGAGGGCACTTTAGCACACGTTTTGGCTTCCAAGAGGGCACTTTAGCACGCATTTTAGCTCCCAAGAAGGCACTTGAGGGCACTTTAGCACGTGTTTTGGCTCCCAAGAGGGCACTTGAGGGCAGTTTAGCACACGTTTTGGCTCCCAAGAGGGCACTTTAGCAAGTATTTTATTATCTCTGAATCTGAACAAGAGTAGAAAAGGGTTGTAGCCTGAGAGCTAACTGTAACAGTGAATGAAATGAAAGAATATTTGTACAGCATTTGTTTTCCTTTAGGTTTTCTTTAAAAAGTCTGCAAAGCCTACATGTTTCCAGCAATGTAGATGCATACGTTTGATGGCAATGATGAAGGAATTGAAAAGCTTGGAGGCATATGATTCTGATGGATTGGACAATATGGAACCAAACCAAGACTGGGTTATATTTCTAGGAAGAAGAGGTGCAAATTCATTAATCAGCTGAAATGCTTGGGAGTTGTACTAGACTGCTCTCTCTTTGTGCTCCACAGGTTTGCATACTTGACTGTTCTCTCTCTCTATTAGACAAAATAGTTATTTTGCTAATTCAGTTGTTCACTTTTGTACTAACTATTCATCCAAACATTGGAAGTACTCCAACCACCAGGAAAATATAAAAACATAAAACCTATGTTTTGCTCAAGACCTTCAATCAAACTTGCCAAGCAAGGATGTCATGGCACTGTATATGACTGACCCACAAGCCTCATGATAGCAAAAGCAGCCAGATCCATGGAGGACTGAATAGCAATATGAGGCACTGTAAAGGGTCTTTCTTCCGAAAGGAGCGGAAGTGTGTTTTAAAGTGCGGTTCTCCACAGCTACAACCCTCCAATGAATACTTCTGACAGCCAGCAGATGAATGGACAGAGAGGAGGCCTGGGGAGTTGGGAAGGGGGGGTCGAGTTCTGAGATCAATGTACTCTGATTGGCCAGCGAATCAATCAATCAAGCCCTAGGGGAGCAGTGGAGAGCAACGGTGAGAGATTGAAGTGTTTTGTTTGGGTTAGGCCTATGGCCTGGCCCTGCTGGCTCAGTGTCAGTCAGGGGGAGCTTTATTTACTCCAACTACAAGCACTCTACTGTAGGACCCTCTTCAAGTCTAGACGTAATCCATACACACTGCACAAGTACTGCAGGTCCCGCCTGTCACAAGCGATTACCACAGATTCTGATCAATGCTCCCTCACAGTGATTTCACTAGTGGACTCTTTAGAAATGCTCATTTTCCAGGGGCATTTATTTTGCTTGTGTGCTGGAGCTTAAAGCAAACATCTAAACAGAAAGGCCTCTGACAGCGTAGCACTGTCGAGAAGTTTCTTCTTTCATTAGTATTCATCTCATGGGAGAACCCTATTTTGCATGCCATAATGAGTTTGAAGGAATTAATAAGCATCAGTTAAGCGGGATGTACTATAATTGGATAGCTGAGCGTTTGGAATGGGTCCGTTCACACACGAGAAGCGCCGTTTTCCTGCTGCGAATCTCTACGGTTCCTTCGGTTTGAAAGGAATCTGGCCTGCACACATGGAGATGAATCACT